GATTCACTCCATGCGACAATTGAAAAGCAAAAAGAACTGGATGACAATTAAAGTAGACCTGGAGAAGGCGTTTGATAGACTTCGTTGGGACTTCATCCGAGACTCCTTGAGTGAGGCTGAATTTCCTCCAAACTTGACTCGAATTATTATGCACTGATTTATCTTTATTTTGAGTTTATTTTGGACATGAGTTTTATTGGATTAATTAGCCTAAAAACTAGTAGATTTCGACGGTCCATTTAGCATCTTATAGAAGACAAACATAACTTCCTTGAATATTTAATTTGGAATTTACATGGGACAATGTTATTTAGAATATGAAAAAGAATTCAACCAGAAAACTTAAATATTTATATTTTATGATAAGCCTTTTTAATTTAGGATTTTTAGTTTGATTATTCTATTATTTATTTTATTTAAGAACTAATTATTTTATTATAACTCTAATTAAGATTTTTAGTTTGATTGTTTTAATAATGAGTTATTTTATTTTCTTAGAACTCTCGGTTATAAATACCCCTTAAGTTCAACAGTTGAAACTCAGATTGGAATTTATTTTCCTTGGTTATTTATTGAAGTTTTACTTTTCTTTCATCTCCATCTTTTTTTTTTATTTTCTTTTTACATTGCTAAGCATGATCCAATCCGTGCTTGGCTAAACTTCTACTTATCCAAAGGTTTTTGCGAAACTCAATTCTATTCGTGAGAATTGAATATTGATATTCACACCTTTAGATCGAGTGACAAACGATTATTCTCTTAAAAGTTATTACATCTTCAACTCAAAAAGTGCATGTTGATTTGAAGAATGCTTTGTTTGAAGTTTGGAAGTTGGATCGGTTGGTGTAATTCGGATTACTTACAAACTTAGCAGCGATCCGTTAAGAGGAATCAAGACCGAGTTCGATTTTTGGTGAGACATTACAACTCAAGTTGGGTTTTTCCAGAATTTAAAGTTATTTTGGTTTTAACGGTGATAGACGTGGCTAGACCAACAAAGATCGAATTTCAGAGATAAACTTGAAAATTTCTATTAATCGAAGAAAATAGTTAGTTACAGGGGTTGGGCCATGTTTATTGTAACTAGCATAAATCACGAAGGGAAAATTTTATTTCGATAGTTGGTTATTGGTAACAATGACCAGACAACAACTACGCATCCTTGAAATGTTTCTTGGCATCTCATCTTCCTATCCTTAGCGTGGAAATTGTGGAAACGACGGAACGACTATATTTTCAACCAATAATGTCGTTTTACTGGCGAAGTCTTTAATCAAAGTCTGGCATGGGCAAAGCATTTTCAGAACTGTAACCTTCCTTGCATTGCTGCCTCAACAAAGTCACTGAAGCGTGTTTGCTGGTCAAAACCACCACATGGGTGGGTCTGTTTTACTATTGATGGTGCGGTCTGGACTACCACAATGAGAAGTGTTGCTGCCGGAGCCTTGCGAGACTGTGAAGGAAACTGGATCATAGGGTTTCCTCGTTCGATTGGTTATTGCTCTCCGCTCCAAGCAGAGTTATAGGGAATTCGAGCAATTCACAACTGATTGTCTCAATGCAACCAAGTTAGTCAAGGCTATGGACGGAGATGTTAATTCTTCAACCTTACTGCGTGCAATTCACAACTTGAGATGCCAGGCATGGGCTTCTGAAATCTAATGGATCCCGAGAGTATATAAGGTGGCGGATGCTCTTACAAGGCTTGCGGATTATGAGTCTTTAAACGTCATCCTATTTAACGCTGCTTTACCTGATCTCCTTAATCTGATATATCTAGGGATGGGCATGGGAACCGTACCCGAGGGGTTTCGATCCGACCCGATTAGATCAGGTATTTAAAAAAAATGGGATTCGGATCGGGTCGGTCAGGTTTTTAAAGGTGATTTTCAGGTCAGGTTGGATTCGGGTTTACGATGAAAAATACCCGACCCGAAAAAGAAATATAATTTTATCTTATATATTTAGGAATAATTAGAATAATATCTCTCTATATTATTTTTCAATTAATTCATTGGCTTTTTAATAAAATAATATTTTTATTATTTTGGGTTGAGTTCGGGTCGGATTTTATCTCAAAAAATCGGGTCGGGTTCAGGTCGTGTGGAGGGTATATATTTTTCATGTCGGGTCAGATGAATGATGTAAAATTTTTGAGTCGGGTCGGATTGACAGAAACCCGACCCAAACCTGACCCATGCCCATCTCTAGATATATTGTGATGTAAATGCCCCTCATACTTAAGGGGTTGTTTAGTTCAAGGTATATCTTATTACCAGGGGAATGAAATCCTCATTCTCCCGTTTGGTTTGCTAACATTTCCAGCCCCCGGTAATCTTTTATTACCAATAGTGAATTTTTTGGGTATATTACCGGGAATGTGATTACCCCCTTCCCTTAGGTATTGTTGGATTACCGACGTTTTGGACTAAAATACCCTTAATTTTTTTCTTTCAAAAATATTCTTATTCTGTAGTTGAATAATTAAAATTCTACGAAGGTTAAATTACAAATTTATCCTTAAACTATTTTAAATTTATAAAAAAAAAATTTAAAATTAAAATTTTATATGAAGTTCAGGGGTTAAAATAAAATTTTACCATTTTATTAAACCTATTTATCTTTTCAATTTTGTAAAAAAAATTATATAAATTTTATGAATTTAATTTTTTTAAAGAAAATATATAAATTAATTATAATAATATTATAGTATAATTTAACTTGTTAAAAAACAAATATATAATAAGAACAATTTGATAAAATATATATTCCAATAATCTTTTATTCTTTTAACCAAACACTGTAATATTATATTCAGACTAAACCAACAAAACACAAAATACAACATTCCCAGTAATCATATTCTCTAATAATCTTATATTTCCACGCACCCTAAGAGTTTGATTGTATTCCTCCCTCTCAATATATAATATATATATATCTATATATATATATATATATATATACATTTAATGACGACAAAAAACTATCATTAGAAGAATTAAAGTATAATATTTTAAAAAGTATTTTCAGGGTTACAAATAATATTTAATTTTTAATTAAATATTATAATTTTTGAGAAAAAAATTATTTAACATTTTAATCTAAATATAAAATGAAAAAATTTAATTTACTTTTTTTAAAAGTGTATTTATATATTTTTAAATTAAGCTATTATATAAAAGTGGGTCAGTGGTGTCATAAAGATGATAACATACGTGGCAACAAGAATAAAAGCTTTTAAATATTCCAAAAGCTGTCAGTTTTAACAAATAACGGGCATTAACTGACCCCTGCCACCTGTGGTCAGTTGCTTCGTCTTTTAGCTCGTAATTTTAAAATTAGGGAAAAAATAGTATAATTTATTATATTTTTAAGGATATTTGAATTAATTAAATAAATTAAATACTATATTTGAAGAAAAAAATAAAAATTTAATTTGAAATTATTTATTGAGGCTATATTTGTACTCCAAAATTTCCACGCAAGTAGTTTATTTATTTATTTATTTTATATAAGAATATTTTTATTGATGTCAAGCTCAGCTAATAGAAATTAAACTAAAAAACTGTATAAATTTAAAGTTATATTAAAATATACAACATATTATATGTTTAGTACTTCAACTATTAGTTTTTGATTTATTTTAGTATATAAACTTCTATTTTTTTTTCAAAATCATATATAAAATTAAGTTTTTGTTTTATTTTAGTAATACGGCGTTAAAAACTTTAATTTTTTTTATTTTACTACCCCTTTCAAAATTAACATTAAGTTTTAAAAAAATTGAAAGTTTAGGTACTAAAACATACCAAAATTGATAGTTTAGGTGCTAAATGCGTTAAGTTTTAACGTCGAAGTACTAGAATGAAATGAAAACTAAACGTTATGTATAATTTTTTAAAAAATAAAAGTTTAAATACTAAAATGAACCAAAACAGATAGTTTATGTATTAAATATGTAAGTTACCCTAAAATATAATAAGAGTATTTATTTTTTATTTTTTAATATTTAAAAGTTATCTAATTTTTGAAGAAAATAACAATATTTTTTTAATTCTATCACTTACATAAAATTGTTATTATTAAAGGTTTGGTAATCAATAATTATGATAAGGGATGGACCTAGACTGTGACGAATAGGGGCGATAGCTCCCTAAAAATCTAAAATTACTATATATTTTAGATTTTTTATGTATTTTATATTAAAAATCTATTTTTACTCTTAAAATTTTATAAATTCAAATTCATTCTTTTAATATAAAATCTTATGTCCGTCATTGTTACGATGGTTGGCTACCGATATTTTCACTTATGCATTCTTTTAAATGCATTTGTTAATAAAATAAATTATAATTTATGTCATCCATAGTTTGTTCTTTCTCATTAATGCTAATTAATAAAACGGTCTTTTAATGCTAATAAATCCATTGTTAATGTGTACTACATTTTACTTATTAACTTAAAATTTTGTTTTCATAATTCATACCTTGAGTGGTAAATATTTCGTGACTAATGCAAATTCATTTAATTTTGTTAAATATTAAATGCAATAAACAGTTTCCAATTTTTCATATAATCTTTAGGGTAAATTATATTAATAATTATTGAATATTTAAAATATGTATGCTTTAAATTTATTGAGTAATCTAAGTAGTTAAAAGAAATATTGTTATCTTTTGAGTTACTAATAATTAAAAAAAATTATGAATGGATTATTTTTTATTTATCTAAATTAATTAAAAATATTTATATTTATTAAATACTTTTTATTCAATTGCTATTTTAAAAGTTCAATGACTGCCGATAAAATTTATTTTTAAATAACAATGATAATGCAGCGGTAAAGAGTAGTGCCAACGTCATTGAAAATAAATAATATAAAATTCAGGGGTACAAATGCAAAACCCGAGAATTAGAAACCCCTACTTTGAAAATATCGAGAAATTTTCGGATCCCCTCACCCTATAAATACGTGGCTCGAGTAAGACAAGGTTTGCCCGATTAAACAGCCAAACAAGTCATTTTAGAGAGAGAAAAAAGGAGAAAACTTGCGTTTTCTATACTTTCACGCTTTCTTACTGTCATCTGCAATACAAGAAAAAAATGGCGACATCTTCTAGACGAACCAGTGGTCCGGTGCTCCGGTCCCTCTCCCCATCCGGCCGATTCTGCTCCCACTACGCTTCACAGTCTTCATCACCTTCTTCTTTCTCAGGTTTTGCTTTCTCGAGTTCAAGCTTTTCTTCACGCTCCTCAACTTTCTTTAATCAACACAGATCCATCTCTCCTCCACGTGTCAATATCTACAATCACTCCCAGTCTGCGCCGTCCGTCCGATTCACTCTTGATAGCCGTCCGATCTCGCCGAACCGTTCGATTACCACCGTTCGCAGAAACACCGAGGTGGTGAGGAATATCGGGAGGCAGCTGCGGAAGAGGACCTGTATGTGTTCCCCAACCAATCATCCCGGTTCCTTCCGTTGCAGTCTTCACAAGAATTTCAATAATTCGCACTCGGTGACCGGTTACGCGCAAAGTAATCGGCTTAACGCGCCAAGTAATCGGCTTAACGCGCGTAGATCTGCGATGACGAACTCGCTGGTGAGAATCGGAGGAGTCGAAGGAGATCTGGTTAAAAGAGCGTTGTCGGCCTTAATACGACCTTCGTCTCACCAGCAGCGTCGCCGAGCAGCGTTCCAGCCGAGGCCTAGCCGGCTCTCCGTTATGACGAGAGCGGGGGATTTATGAGGTTTCCTATAGTGGTAACCGGTAATTGTAATTTTCCGCGTTCGGAGATCGAGCTTCGGAGAAACGCCAGGTGGTAGCGTTGAAGTCATTTACCGGCGAAGAGGATGGAGATCTAGACGAAGGATTCGGGACGGGCATGATTTTTACTGTACTCCGGCCGACCGAAACCGTAAAATAGGAGGAACTAGTTATCATATTGTTTGCTGGTGTAAATACATATATTTGCAGGCAATGGCAAATTTGAGGACAAAAGCAACAACAGCAAAGAACCTAAATTCCCTTAAAATCTAATCTAATCTAATCAGACTAACTCTAATCTGAAACTCCCAGGCCAGATTAATTGATTTTGGTCATTTAACACCATTCCATCATAGTTTTCTTTCTCGTGATCCGTTTGGTTTCGACGTTTTCCGTTCACCGTTTCCCATTTTCCAAATCAGCATCTCGTTCCTTCTTTCTCTCCTTTGATTCGTCACGTTCATCGTTTTCTCGTGTCTTTCCCTTATTTTTTTCTTCTTTTTGTTTAATTTTTACAATTTCCTTTAATCGGATCATATTTAATTTACGTTTTTCTGATTGCTTTGCAGGTATCGGGATTGGACAAGTCCCAAACGTGGGCGGGATTTATATATCCAGATTTTAGTTGGACGCACGCAAAGGAGAATCGAAACAGAATGCATTTATTAGACCCTGAACTTAATTCTACCATATTCGGAATCGAACAATTTATTAAAATGAATTAAAATTATAATGAGATAAAAATAAAATAAAATTTAAATTTTCCTCGATTAATTATCTATTTTATTAACGAAATTCATCTTGAAATTTTTCGTGTTTGTCTTGAAATTTTCTGTGCTCAACTTGAAATCCAAGTATTATTAGATTAATTACTTATTTTATAAACAGTGTCATCTTGAAATTTTTAGTACATATTTTATTTAAAAAATTCATATTGTTAACGTATGTATGTGTGCCACCTTAAAAAATATTTTTAAATTCGTTACTAAATTTTATTGTAGTTAACATTTAGAATCTCTTGGTAAAGGTCTATTGATATATATATATATAAATGATCAAAATTGATTGATTTATTATTTTAATGTTAAGGATAGATATGATATCATCCATTGAAAAACAAATCATATTTGAAGGGACAACTAATATTCGGTCGTGCCCTCCAAACTTTTTAAGGTCACAAGAGGCACAATTATTTAGTTTAATTATATAAGGGACAGAAATTAAGTGACAACCAAAGCTCATTGCATACGTATTAAAAATCTATGGAATCATATAATGATCTATAATTAAATATAAATAAATTATCTAGGTCAACCACCCATCCTCTCCCCCACCCACAATGGTTGCTTGCCCTATATTTTAATTTGTTGCAGTTAACAACTAATGCAATTAAACTATCTATCTACAAAGCCCATGCGAGGGAATTCAAATTTGGGACATCAAGGGACCCAAGGTTTGATCTTACCAATTATGTTAAAACCTCATTAGATTAATGATATAGTTATCAATGTCACCAAAAATATGGCAATGACTTATGCCCCCCCCCACTTTCTATTTTTTTTAATGAGGGCCTTTAATTATTTTCAATTCAATAAATTTTTAATTTTTGACATTTTCTATTTTATTTTTTTTTCTTCAATTTTAAATTAAATTATTTATTTTTAAGTCTATTTATTTAATTTTATCAAATATTCTTTAATTCTCAGTCTCTCTAATCTAACGTTAACATAATACATCATTCTTCATGTTTAGTTTTTTTGTTCAAAACCAAGCTCTATATCACACCTATATTTTTTTTCTTCTCTTAGTTAGATTTAGTGTGTTTTTAACCGAACAATGGAAAGTGTTTGATAAATTTACTATTCTTTTTTTTTATTAATGAAATGTTAAATTATTTATTCAAAATAAGAATATATATATATATATATATATTATAATGACTTATTTTTAAATTTTGATTCAAGGTTTTGAAAATATTTTTAAAATTTTTCTCCAAGACCCTAAAAGTGTTATGGACAACTCCAAAGAAGATTATATTGGAGTTTTGACCTTTTTTTCTCTTCCCATTTTAGAATTCTCCCCATCTCTTCTTGTTTCATACTTGATAATAAAACAATAGTGCTTGTGTAGTAAATCTAATTCTAGATTTGATCAAATTTATTATAGATTCGAATTAAATTTAAACTAAATCTAACCTAACTTAAATAGAGCTTAATTGAATACAATTTAAACCTGAATTAAACCAATTTAAATTTGATCCTAATGGTCTAATTGTCACTCAACTATACAAAAGAAAACATAAATTAATGGGATTTCATTAGTGAAAAATGGGCGAAATTGGCCCAATAATGCACTTAGAAAAAGAAATTAGGGTTTTAGGGCACATGAACTTTTAATTTGAGATATACAGCATTTGTTAGTGTTTAACGAACTTGTCACGCTGAGATGACGAGTTCGCCCAAATAATATTTTTTTTATTCAAACTCGTCACCTTGAAGTGACGAGTTCCAGTAAAATATATTTTTTATTAAGTTTTGTTACATCGGAGTAGAAGTTTGAAAAAAATATTTTTTTTAGAACTCTTCACCTCGAGGTGACGAGTTCCATGCATTGTAGCAAATGTCGTATATCCCAAATTAAAAGTCACTGTCCTAATTCCCTAATTTTTTTTATGGGCTGCCTTAATAGGCCCAGATTCGGGTTCTTATATATATATATATATATATATATATATATATATATATATATATATATATATATATATATGAGTGTGGGCTTAGGACCGAGCATCATTCTAATTAAGAAGGCAGGTAAGCTCAACTTCTAATAAGTGAGATTATTGGAATGGAAGTTTGGAAAAGCATAAATTTTGTTTTTATTTTTTAAAATAAAAATATATTTGGTAAATAAAAAATTATTCCATCCCTGATCGAAGGACATGAGGTCCCAAGCAATTGCAAACTCAAATTTGGTAAATAATTTAGGTCCTTTCTCTTCCACTTTCTCTTATTCAACACAAATGATGCATGTATACATCAAACAGGGCATGAAAGACTGGAAATTGCCCATTTGAAGGATGATTACATCTCAAGAAAACCCATAAATCTTCAAACCTTGTGCAATTATAGAAAAATTTCAATGACTTGAACTCGAAAAGAATGCAAAAAATGGGCAATGGCATGCTTATTGATGGTAGTAAAACTGTAGAAGAACCTTGTGTATGACCAAATTTCTCACCTTTGCAGACACCAAAAACACAGGAAACATGCATGTGTGTAAATCAAGTAGGTTTCATGTCCTGAAACAGTGTTTCCCAAAATGTATGTTCAACCAAGTCGTTGTTGTGGTGATCACCTTGGACCTTGGGGCTCGGACTCCTATTTTTGACCATCAACCTCTCTTGCGCCATTCAACATCAACGGAACCAGATATGATGGGGCTCTTATAGCTGAACACCAACCTCTCCTGCAATTTCCTGTCCAGTGGCCCTGATAATTTCAAGCTCCTAGGAGTCACCAGCAACTTCTCCTGTCCTCTACAATCCAAGGGACCCGATTTCGCTATCGTCCTGGTTTTCTGCAGTGAATGATGCTCCATCTTCATCTCCTTGTTCCTCTTCGACAATGCTTCTCTCCACTTATCCTTATACGAAACCGGCTCCGGTGCCGGCAGCGGCAGCGCCGCCTTCGTCGTCTCGTGGTGAACCAACCTGTTAACGTACTTGTTGAAGCACTTCCTGGTCTTGACGATTGCTAAGATGAGCTTTGACAAGCCATTAGGGGCTTCCCTAACTTCTTTCCGAGCGAGCTTGAGGATCTCTAGCCTGTGTTTGGCAACGGAGATGCCCATGCTCTGAAGGAACTCATGGTTGACGTGTGGTAAATCCTCTATTTGGAGCTCGTTGCCAGAAAAGGCAAGGGCGTACTTATAGACAAGTGAGGGCTCGAGGCCAGTTTTGGATAACCAGGAGTACCAGTCCATGGCTTCCGGTGGCTGGATTATGCCATAGGATGTTTACAGAACTGGCGGGTGTTATAAGATGGTTGCATGTGAGCGGTCCAATACAAGTGTCCCATGTAGAGCTTTAAAAGAATCAAGTAAATGTGGTGGGTGTGTAGGGTTTATCTTTTCTGTCATCTTTAATTGAAATGGACAGGGACGCCGAACGAATTTCATTAATAGGAGTGTAGAGAACTTACCCATCTTTTTGTGTGACCGAACCGAGTCAAGGAGAAAGTTACTCTTGAAATGAAACGAGCTGCTCACAAACAAAAACAAAGCTCCTCAATACCCAACCAAAGACAGCCAGCCACACAACACTCACAAATTGTACAAAAGAACTGCCCGAGACAACTCGGAAACAACACCGGAATCAATCTGACTGCAGAACAAACATAACCATGTACATAATCTGCAACCAACCACACTCAACGATCTAGAAGCAAAAGCGGTAACAACCATACTCAGATTTGCAAGAACTGATTTCAATACTGCTTTGGAAGTAATTCTTTTAAAACTCACTCACACACGAACTCACTCTTCCCTTGCGCGACATCACAGTCAGCTTCAAAACCTTGAACGACCAAACCAAAATTACCCAGCCACGGTCACGCTCTAAACACCACGAAGCACTAACCTCGACACCAAAACCAACCGACAAAGCAACACCAAGACGGTCTCCATTTTTCAAACTACACTGTGGCATTGACACAACAGAAAACAAGCTGCTTAAAACCTCCAATATAATAAACTATTATTAAACTATAAACTAATAAGAATTACCTTGACAGCAGGGTTAGTGCACTACAGCATAAATAAAAGATGTCAGAAATTAGGTACCATAGAAAGTAACAATTAGAAAGCAATTACTACCGTGGAAGTGAAACCAATGATAAAGCCATTTGAGGGAATTCATCTTTGTATGAAAATTTCAAGATTTGAACTCGGGAAGAAATATAATAAAGAATTAAGTCCATTTATATTTTATTAAAGAGAAAACAGCTACCTGGATGGAGAGAATGCAACATCTTCAACTGTATCATCGTGCCCACAGAAGATACCACGAGGACCTACAGAAGGCCCATCAGCTGCTTTATCATTACCTTCCCCAGGCTTGTTCTGTTTGATGATCGATCCACCAGATATGTGATCCTGGATGCTCCACAAAACCACTAATTTGTCCTTCCCTGTCATAAAAGTCCTCCGATTAAGAAGAAAAGCTCATCATATGCATGAAATTCAGTTCTGTTGACCCAATTCTAAAAATGAATAAGTAATCCCCTTGGGACTTGGAACAAGTATCTACAATGTCAAAATAAAGTTATGGACTAGAACAGAGTAAACCGTAGACTCCAATCTGCCACTTCTAAATTAGATGAAGCGATATCAAACATACCATATATTATACATGGAAAAAAGATATTCAACTCCCAAGTTGAATAATTTAACATGATTAACACTCTGTAATGGGAAGAAAATGAAGTCACAATGTCTCATTTGATCATATCAAACAGAGAAGATCATTATTTCCTAGGAGGTTTCAGTACAAAATATATCAATAAAACCACCAATTCCAAACAAATATACAGTTATTGGAACTATGAAATTTCCCAACCTCCAGAGATAACATAGGGTTCAGTGGGACACACTGCAAGGGCAAACTCAGCATTATCTTGATGTCCAGTCAAAATCTGTCAAAAAGAGAAAAAAAGGTCATCAATGAAAAATGGTTCAGCCAACACCCCCTGTCCGTTATTTGTGATTACTAAAATATGATGCGGATATGTGTGCAAGTATACACAATTGAACAAGTAATAAAGTGATAAGTAGAGTATTGTCTCCATAGGGAATTGGGGAAATCAAATAGGTTTGTCAAGGCACTTTACTTTGTCACCTAAGTAAAGTTAGTTATGGTATATACAGATGAGAATGCAGTGGCAAAATGGAATGGACGTAGTGGAAATGGAGTGGTGATAGTGTGGTAGCAGATGGATATGTCGTGGCAAATTAAATTGTGATACGTGAAAACAAATGAAAATGTCAAGGCAAAATAAAAATGCAAATACTAGATTTAATATATGTAGGACTAGCTTTCTCACAAGACAAGCAGCAATGGAAATGAGTGATGGGAGACACAAGGAAAACTTAAGTTTATTTCTTTGAATGGTGCCTCTTCTATGCTTACCCTGCCCGACAGAGTCTACTGATGTGCCCTATGCTATCTCTAGTAAGGGACTCGACAGACTAAAGATGCCCTGGCAAAATCGATTGGCGTAAGCCCAAGCAGTGATCCTATTGACTCAGCTAATAGAATATGTCTCGGCAATACCTTTTTGCGGCAGCATTAACATCTAACCTATCGTTTATACACAACTCCTTTTAGTCGAATGGAATCCTATTCTTATCTCTAAGGTGGATTAGGCCTAGTTACTATCTAGAACCCGTTATTTATGTAGTTCCTCCCTAGCTTCTCTCGAAGACTAAAGATAAATTGCCAAGGCATTCTCTCGAACCTCATGAACCCTCCTAAGGAAAGGCTACTCTCGTAGCTCCTACAACCTCAAGACTTTAAGCATCATAAACAAAACAGAATAGAGCATGAAACAACAACCATTCATTAAAATAACAACTTAAATAACCATTCGAACTCCCACCAAATAGGATTAGTTCATGGTGGGGCTCGAAATCAACAAGCACAAAGCAAGATTCATTCGCTCCTTACAACCCAACAACAAAATATAAAAGCAAGGACTAAGGGGAGGAGAGAAAGCCTTCGACGTGCACTGCCTTACAACCCAACAACAAAATATAAAAGCAAGGTCTAAGGGGAGGAGAGAAAGCCTTTGACGTGCACTGCCAAATGCCTTCCTCGGCCACCAAGGACTGCTCCCAGCGGACTAGCTCCTCTCGGATGCTCAGAACGCCACTCCCTTCTGCTAGTCAAGGAGAAATGCCACGGCAAGTGGGATTGACGGAGAAAGATAAGACTTTCTCTCTCTAACTTTTTAAGATCAAATGTGGCTGGAACTAAAGTCCTCTTCAATATGGTTTCCTCCTCTATTTATAGGGGAAAAGAAATCCTAAGGTTTGGTGTTAACCATCCTAGGAAACCCCAAAACCATGGTTGAGTTGCTTGGGAGTCGAGCAGACTAGGCAATGATACATCCTAGGTAGCTGGCTAGAGACCGGCATAATCCCGCTACAGGCGCCCTAGGACCGACAGGATCTGTAGGGTCAGACTAGGCAACGTCATCAACAGAACCGGTGGTTGAAGCGCCAAAATGCTGCGGTGGGTATCTCAGGCAGAGCATGCATAAAATCCGGGACAATTCGCTAGAAAATATCTTCTCTCTCCTTGTACACTCCTGAAATGCCATTTGAACTTGGCATTTTTATTTAGCTCAGCAATATCCTTATGTCATGGCATTTTAAATCCTCTTTTCCTTGCTTTCAATACCTTAATATCATCAGACAAGTACCTTTCCCATAAAGCAGCACCGCTGTAAAAATAAAATGCCACGGCAAACTGAAATCCACCACATGCAACTATATGCTCCTAAATGCATCTAAATGGTCCTAAATGGGATCTTAGACATTCAATAACTTAAGTGAAAAGGTCCCAAAATATGACCTTTTCAAGGAGTTATCACACCCCCAAACTTAAGCTATTGCTTGTCCTCAAGCAATGGATAGTGATAAGCAAAACAAAAATACCATGACAAGTTCAGAAGCAGAATAGTTATATGGGATAAAATTTCAGCCCTCAGCTCATATGTCTTCAACATGCTAGACTAGTTTGAGAAATCAAGTACTGTCCCCTAGGGCAAGATTCTTTATGTGGGTGTGTGCGTGTTTGTATCCAGTCCATGCTTAACAAACCTAAAAATTTTCTACTCAAGCTTTCTCAATTTACCATGACATTTTCAAATTACTATTCCCCTTTGTTTTCTTTGATTACTTCTGCTACGAGGAGAGTCAGCCCATCACTCTACCATACCACACTCTAGATGAAAGGGAGCATACCTTTCACCCCCGAGCTAGTCAGGTAGAGTCATCATGTGACTACTTTCATTCACTCATATGCCAAGACATAGCAGAGTGTTCCTCTACAGATATGCCAAGGCATTTATTTATAATTTATAATTTATATTTCTTTTTTTTTCTTTTTTTTATGCGGGGTTTTCATCATTCACAGTTTATGCCACGACATTTAAGAATTCTCTTATAAAAAATTTCTAAGTTTCTCAAGCATGGAAAACATACAGTTGTGTTCAAGGGTTTCAAAGAAGCAAGTCCTAGAGTTGGTTCTATTATCCTCAACCAGTCATATACATTCTATCCTAGCCATCAAGAATTCTTCATCATCGGGCATCCTCAATTAATTCCAGAAAACTAATTCTATATTTACTAATGTCATGGCATATTCATTTTACTAATACTATCATACAATGATGCGAGAACCCTACTTCCCCCAAACTTGAGAGAAATATTGTCCCCAATGCTTACTAAATCTAAGAAAAATGAAAACTACATGCTATGAATGCAATGCAATGCAAGGTACCTTGGCTTCATGGTGGTGGTGCAGCAGTTGCACGGCGAGTGCGCTTGCGGAGCTTAGCGGGGATGGAATGCTCGGAGTCAGAAGCTGGTGCAGCTGGAGGAGTGTGAGGGCCTTCTTGAACAGTTGGGAGCGGGGGCTCCTGATGTTGAGATGCCTTTCGTAGGCGACGTCTGCTCCTACGCAAAGGAGCTTGCCGTGGCATCTCCGATTGTGACTCCTCGGCCGACTCAGTAGGTTGTGATACTTCGGGGTTGGCTGCTTCCATCGGTACAGCAGGTGGTGGCATTGCTGGATGTTCTTCTGCGAACGGTTCAACAAATGGGGCAGGCTCCGGGAAATTAGCAAGTTAGAGGTTGACTTCTCTGTCTATATCAGGCGAAACTGCGTGGACCGAATTAGGGTCCACTGGCTCCTTTACAGATGCCTCGGCATCTCCATGTGATGGGACGAGCTCATCAGGAAAAGGGGGAATGGTAAAGTTAGTGTGCGGGAGGAACTCCATCAGGGCACTGGTGAGAAAGGCATCACGTCGTTTGGCATAAGCAAAATAGACCATCAGTTTGTCGGACAGCTGCCCAACATGCTGGTGAGTGCGCTGGACAGCCTGCTCTAGGTCAGTTGAAGATGCCCTGACATGTGGTGATGATACAACGCGAGATGTGGTTGCCTCGTGTTCCTTTCATTTGGCTTCCTTGTAGCCCAACAACATAGGTATTTTCGCTTTGTTGAGTCCAGCAATGCCCGGAAAAATCTCATCAAACATTTCTTCTCGAACTTTCTTTTTTCGGCATAAAGCAGTGATGAGATTTGGGAATACCAAGGCACTTGCCTGTCGCTTTAGGCATAGATGAGCCTGTTCCACGATAATCTTCCCTATATCGATGGTTCGTCCGGTGATGATAGAGTGCAACAAAAGCATCCGTTGGCATGATACAGTTGTATTGTGGGAGGTTGGCATAAGCTTGTGCTTCATGAAATGGTTCCACAGTTTGACATGGGGGAGCAGTCGATCCCTATCCACGGTCTTTCGTTTCAGTTGCTGACCGTTCCACTGAGTACCGGGAAGACACAAGTCTTCCAGGATGCCTTGGTAAGTTTCATGGTCGGCCTCTTGGGCAAAGCTCGCATGGTGGTCATCAGCAACCTGCAGTTTAAAATAACGGTTAATAGTGGTAGGAGTAAAACAAAATAGAAATGCCGCGAACTATCACGGCATACTGATTTGGCTCGGTAATGTTAGAATAAAACTCCTTCACTATTGTGGCGTTGACAGGGGCAGGATGTTTGGAAAACTTCTGCCACTTATGCTTAATGACCACGTCCAGCACTTCGCTGCCCAAATTGGCGTTCTCCGCCTCGGAGAAGACAAAGCCCAACTCGAAAAAGACTCACCGGTTCTTTATGGTTTGATAGCGTTCCTTGGCAGCCTCGTCGACAAAGCGTGGTGGTGAGGGTGGTGGGGCTGGTCGTGAGCGCACCATCGTGAGACTGCAAAAATAAATGAAGGAAGAGAGCTTTTTGAGGCGGTTGTTATGGTGGTCGACGGCAGTTGGAAAGGAGAAGAGGAAACTAGAAAGTGAAAGTAAAAAGAAAAAGTGAAAAAGTGAAAAGTAAGTGGGGTAGGCTAGTTAAATGGAAATATTTGGGGGGGGGGGGAAATAGATAAGCGGTGGGGTAGGGCGGGAAAGAAAACAAAATGAAAAAAATTCATTCCTAAGTCAAAAGTCAAAATAAAATTTCCCTCATTTTTCCTTTTCATTTTGCCGCCCAAAGTGTTCTCAACTTCGTCAACACGCCTCACGTGCTAAGTGCGTGGGATTCCCTGGCAAAAATATGAAATGAAAATAATTACTGAATAATGAGAAATATTAAAATAAAGGCAAAACAAAAATAATTTATGTACAGATGTAAGTTAAAAATGCCACGGCATCCTTAAGATGCCGGACCAGTGTCAACGTCTTGCAAGAGCAACGCCGACTTGTCACGTGCAGGTGGGACTCCTTGATAAGCCTTTAGGCGCTGGCCATTGACTTTAAAGATGGATTCATCGTCCAGGTTCTTGATATCAATAGCACCATAAGGGTAAACATGGTGAACTTCAAATGGTCCAGACCAGTGTGACTTTAATTT